GTCAAAGTTGAAGCCCCCATAGGAATGAGTGACCACAGTGTACTGACCTTTGAGTACTTGGTGGAGGTAGGGATAACCTATCCAAGGATGGGATCGGAGGGAAAAAGACTGAATTACTGAAGAGGAAAATATAATGAGATGAGGAACTTCCTCAGGGAAATACCATGGAAAACAGAACTTAGAGACAAGAATGTGCAGGTCATGATGGATTTTGTCACCCAGAAGTGCCAGGAAGCTGCAGACAGGTTTATCCCCGTCCAAAAGGAGAAAAACGAAAAACAACAGAAAAACCCATGGTTCAACCAGGAATGCAAGGTAGCGAAACAAATGAGTAAAAGAATATGGAGAAACTACAGAAATAACAGAACACCAGAGAGCAGGGAGAGATACCAGAGGGCCAGAACTAAGTGAGGAGGCGGCAAACCAAGCAACCTTGGAGGAATTTGACCTCACCAGTGATGAGGTCAAAAGGTGTCTGCTGGAGCTGGATGTGACAAAGGCTGTTGGGCCTGACAGAATCTCACCATGGATACTAAAGGAAGGTGCAAAAGCACTAAGTGTGCCACTCTCTATGGTGTATAACAGGTCACTGGAAGCAGGAGACTTACCAGAAAGTTGCAAGACAGCTAACGTGGTTCCAATATACAAGAAGGGTGACAGGCAATTGGCACTGAACTACAGGCCAGTTTTCTAAACTTGTATACCATGCAAGGTGATGGAGAAGATCGTGAGGAAAAGGCTCGTAGAGCATCTGGAGGGAAATAACTTTGTAACACACCACCAACATGGGTTCAGGGATGGTAAATCGTGCCTCACAGGTTTAATAGAATTTTATGACCAGGTAACAAAAATTAGGCAGGAAAGAGAAGGGTGGGCAGACTGCATTTTCCTGGACTGTCAAAAAGCCTTTGACACAGTACCCCATAAAAGGCTGTTAAAAAAGTTGGAGCAACAGAAAGGAGTAAAAGGGAAGGTGCTCCAGTGGAAAGGGAGTACTTAAGCAACAGGAAACAGCGGGTAACGGTGAGGGGGAAGACATCAGAGTGGCGAGATGTCACCAGCGGAGTCCCACAGGGCTCAGTACTTGGACGCATCCTGTTTCTAATATATGTAAATGATCTTCCGGAGGGTATAGACTCATTCCTCTCAATGTTTGCTGATGGTGCAAAAATTATGAGAAGAATCAAGACGGATGAAGATAGACAGAGACTACAGGATGACCTGGATAAACTGGAGGAATGGTCTAGAAAATGGCTGCTAAAATTCAACTCAGGAAAGTGTAAGGTGATGAAATTAGGCGAAGGGAGCAGGAGGCTGAACACAAGGTATCATCTGGGAGGTGAAATCCTGCAAGAGTCAAATAGAGAGAAAGATTTGGGGGTTGATATCACACCGAACCTGTCCCCAGAGGCCCACATCAAAAGAATATCATCAGCGGCATATGCTAGACTGACCAACATAAGAACTGCCTTTAGAAACTTGAGTAAGGAATCTTTCAGAACCCTGTATACCACTTATGTAAGACCAATCCTGGAGTATGCAGCTCCAGCCTGGAGTCCATACCTAGTTAAACACAAGACAAAGCTAGAAAAGATTTAGCGGTATACCACCAGGCTCATCCCGGAACTGAGAGGAATGAGCTACGAGGAAAGGCTAAAGGAGCTGAACCTCACATCCCTAAAAAACAGAAGAGTAAGGGGAGACATGATAACCACCTACAAAATTCTCAGGGAAATTGACAAAGACAAACTCTTCAGCACGGGTGGAACACGAACAAGGGGACACAGATGGAAACTTAGTACCCAGATGAGCCACAGAGACGTTAGAAAGAATTTTTTCAGTGTCAGAGTAGTTAACGGATGGAATGCATTAGGCAGTGATGTGGTGGAGGCTGAATCCATACACAGTTTCAAATGTAGATATGATAGAGCCCAGTAGGCTCAGGAATCTATTCACCAGTTGATTGACAGTTGAGAGGCGGGACCAAAGACCCAAAGCTCAACCCCCGCAAGTACAAATAGGTGAGTATACACACACACACACACACACACACACACACACACACACACACACACACACACACTGATTGACGGTTGAGACGCGGAACCAAAGAGCCGAAGCTCAACCCCCGCAAGCACAAATTGGTAAGTACAAATAGGTGAGCACACACACACCGGAAGCAGCCCGTAGCAGGTGTCTTAACTCCCAAGTACCTATTTACTGCTAGGTATCAGGAGCATCAGGGAGAAGGACATTTCGCCCATCTGTTTCTCCGGCTGCGGGGATCGAACCCCGGTCCCTAGGTCCACTAGTCTAGAGCGCTGTCTACTCAGCCACCATTGTATGCTTGTGATGTTGTTGTATGCTTGTGATGATGTTGTATGCTTGTGATGATGTTGTATGCTTGTGATGATGTTGTATGCTTGTGATGATGCTGTATGCTTGTGATGATGTTGTATGCTTGTGATGATGTTGTATGCTTGTGATGATGCTGTATGCTTGTGATGATGTTGTATGCTTGTGATGATGCTGTATGCTTGTGATGATGTTGTATGCTTGTGATGATGCTGTATGCTTGTGATGTTGTTGTATGCTTGTGATGATGCTGTATGCTTGTGATGATGCTGTATGCTTGTGATGATGCTGTATGCTTGTGATGATGCTGTATGCTTGTGATGATGCTGTATGCTTGTGATGTTGTTGTATGCTTGTGATGATGCTGTATGCTTGTGATGATGCTGTATGCTTGTGATGATGCTGTATGCTTGTGATGATGCTGTATGCTTGTGATGATGCTGTATGCTTGTGATGATGCTGTATGCTTGTGATGATGTTGTATGCTTGTGATGATGCTGTATGCTTGTGATGATGATGTATGCTTGTGATGATGTTGTATGCTTGTGATGATGCTGTATGCTTGTGATGATGCTGTATGCTTGTGATGATGCTGTATGCTTGTGATGATGCTGTATGCTTGTGATGATGTTGTATGCTTGTGACCAATTATCAAATTATCAAGGCTATGTGTATGTGCTACACATAGCGTTGCTCGCGTGAAACGGTTGTATGGTGTTAGGGACACGGGTTCATTATGTTCTATGTATCGGGCGTATTATGTGTGCTTCCCCATTTTTTTAGAATAAATTTGTTTGGTACGTTTTAGTAACCTGATGTAAATGACTAAGTTACAACTTGCATTTATGTGTTTTCGTAATGGCCTACTTGCCTAGTGTGTTGTCTACTGGTGTGTTTGATGTACTGAGTGGTTGTGTGTGTTTCCTACTTGTAAGTGACTACACAGGCTACGACGTGGTTGTTGTTTGTGTTTGGCGAGCAGCCTACGTGTGTTTGTCAGGCCTTCTACTGCACCTGTGTTTGTAGAATTATCTTTCGCTAGTTTTGTTCCCTTGCAGAGTAGTAGGTGTTATTTAGTTACACGGTTGTTCCGGGTTATATTTCATATAGGTTTGTGCTGCGAACTCAATGTTTGTAGAAGGGATGACGCATTAGCAGTAAGTTTTGGTTTTGAAGTTCACTTACCGCTAACGCGTCAGGGCTTCCAGGTAAAAATGTTCATTCTTCGCGATATCACCCGTTTAAGACCATTTTCGAAGAATATTGTCATAGACGTTTGTTAAGTAAAATAATGATTTTAGCAGTAAATTTTGGTTTTCGGGTCCATTGGACGCTAAGCTGCCAAGGGTTCCAGGGGGAATATTGTCAGAGTCTTAGTTCCCGTTAAGATTCCACCAGTCTTAGGAAAATATTTCAGAGTTTCCCATGTTTAGAAAATATATTTTAGAAATTTCATAAAGAAATTTTACAGAAAAAGAATCAGGGGCAAAGTCCGCTCTAGTCTAATTTAAATAAACTCTACCGCCATAAACAGATATATTAGACAATAGTCTTAAGTCAATTCTTATATAGAAGATATACTCGTTTATAATTAAGTTAATCAGCTCCCTCCCTCCCTCCCCTCCCCCTGCGTCAGGCACCGCCAAGCCTATCGCGCCTAACAGGTGTCTTACCTTAATCTAATTTAATCTAATCTAATCTAGTCTAATAACCCACCCGCCCCCCCCTCCCTCGCATCTTTTTTTATTGCACTTAAGAACACTTGTCCCCCCTTTCCCCGTCCCCCTACCCCCCCCTCTCCCTACATCGCCCTCCGCTCTCTACAAAAGATATTTTTAAAAGTTCATCAGAAGTTAGCTCTTGAACCCAGTTCGATACGTTTATAAGTGTAGTTTCACTATTAACTGATCAATTTCCATGAGATTTAAATCATAGTTATTTCTCCCTTAGTAATAAAAGAAAATTAAGCTATCGAGTTTTAGCTCCCGCCCCCCCCCCCCCATCACCTGGTCTTAAACGGGTGATAGCGCGAGGAATGAACATTTTTACCTTGAACCCCTGACGCGTTAGTGGTAAGTGAACTTCAAAACCAAAACTTAGTGCCAATGCGTCATCCCTTCTACAAATGGTCTCTCATGTTCTGTGTTGTGTGGAGTTCTGTGGTAGGCTGGGGTTGTGGTATGTAGCTTCTCCTGTTATTTGTATATTCTAATTGTTCTTTATTAATAAAGGAATATTAAAGTGCTTTACTTTTCTGAATTAAGAAACTCTTCAACTTCAACCTAAAGTGTATTCAGAGTGTTCTCACTCCCATTCCTTTTCACAAAATGTTGCATTAACCATGATATAAGTTGTGTGTGTGCTGGTTGGGGTTGATGGGAGAGGAACAGAGGTGGGAGTGTTCTGCTTATTGGGTGGTGGGCTGATTGGGTGGAGTGGGGGGGGGGGATCAATGAACGATGCAATTAGCGCTCATAACCTGTACGTGACAAGAGTATGTTCTACCGAATATGATATTATATATCTAATTTTTCACTACATTTCCGAAACGTAAGTGAGTACACAAGTGGTACCACGACCACAAGTGTTCTCACACCCCCTGTAGAAGCAGCCACGGCGTCAGCAGTTGGGTGCTGGCGGTGAGAGTGAGTGCTGCGCCCACAATTGTCTTTGTTTCTCAACAGTAACGCCCTCCCGCCCACCGTTCTCACCATCGACAACGTTCACAGCCCGGCAAGCAAGTCTTGGGAGATGGGGACTGCTACGCGTGCTCGTAGGACAAGTTATTGATGAGTTTAGAGAAAAATTGCTGCATGTGTTCTTTCCATATTGTGCTGGCAAAGGTTGAACTTCGGATCTTTGGTCCCACCCTCTCAACCGCCATTCTACTGGTATACAAGGTTACTGATCCTACTGGGCTCATCATATCTACATTTGAAACTGTACTCATCTAGTTGTGATTGCGGGGTGTTGAGCTTTGGCTCTTTGGTCCCGCCTCTCAGGAGGCGGGACTAAAGCTCAGGAATCTGTACACCAAACTACTGGTGTACAGATTCCTGAGCTTCTCGAGCTCTATCACATCTACATTTGAAACTGTGTATGGAGTCAGCCTCCACCACATTACTGCATAGTGCATTCCATTTACTAACTACTCTGACACTGAGAAAGTTCTTTCTAACGTCTCTGTGGCTCATTTGGGTACTCAGCTTCCACCTGTGTTCCCTTGTTCGTGTGCCACCCGTGTTAAATAACCCATCCTTGTCTACACTTCTACCTAGAAGTGGGCTTCAGGGGGCCGGTCGGCCGAGCAGACAACAAGCTGGATTTGTGATCCTGTGGTCCCGGGTTCGATCCCGGGCGCCAGTGAGAAACAATGGGCAGAGTTTCTTTCACCCTATGCCCCTGTTACCTAGCAGTAAAATAGGTACCTGGGTGTTAGTCAGCTGTCACGGGCTGCTTCCTGGGGGTGGAGGCCTGGTCGAGGACCGGGCCGCGGGGACACTAAAGCCCCAAAATCATCTCAAGATAACCCTGTCAATTCCCCTGAAAATTGTGTATGTGGCGATCATGTATCCCCGAGCTCTTCTGTCTTCTAGCGACGTGAGGTGCAGTTCACGCAGCCTTTCCTCATACCTCATGTCTCTTAGTTCTGGGACTACCCTAGGGGCATACCTCTGAATTTTTTGAGCATCGTCTTGTGCTTGACAAGGTAAGATCTCCATGCTGGGGCCGCATACTCCAGGATTGGCCTAACATATGTGGTATACAAGGATCTGAAGACTTCTTTACACAAGTTTCTGAAGGCAGTTCTGATGTTAGCCAGCCTCGCATACGCCACCGATGCGAGTCCACATCTTTAGAAGTGGGCTTCAGGAGACAGGTTTGGCGTGATATCAACTCCTAAAGCTTTCTTTCTCTGTCCGTTTCGTGAAGGACTTCATCTCCCATTCGGTATCTAGTGCCTGGCCTTCTATTTCCTCCGCCTAGTCTCATCACCTTACATTTACTTGGGTTGAACTTTAGTAGCTATTTGTTGGACCATTCATTCAGTTTGTCTAGGTCATTTTGTAGCCTTATACTATCTTTTTCTGTCTTAATCCTCCTCATAATTTTACATCATCAGAAACATTGAGAGGTACGAATCTATTCCCTCTGGGAGATCATTTACATATATCAGAAACAGTACAGGTCCAAGGACTGATCCCTTTGGGACTCCACTGGTGACACCTCGCCACTTCGAGACCTCCCCCTTCACAGTGACTCGCTGTCTTCTGTTGCTTAGGTACTTCCTAATCCAGTCGAGTACCTTCCCTTTCACACCTGCCTGCATCTCCAGCTTGTGAACTAGTCTCTTATGTGGTACTGTGTCAAAGGCTTTCTGGCAATCCAAAAATAAGCAGTCTGCCCAGCCCTCTCTATCTTGTTTGATTTGTGTTGCCAGGTCATAGAATTCAATTAATCCTGTGAGGCATGATTTGCCCTCCTTGAACCCAGGCTGATGCTGTGTTACAAAGTTCTTTCGCTCCAGATGTTCCACTAGTTTTTTCGCACAATTGTGGGGTTTTCTATTTTGCTTTCCCGACTGCAATGCGTACGTCACCAATGTATTCGTTGCAAGACGCTTCGCGAAACTGTCGGAATCAGCAGAGAAAATACGAGAGCAACCGTACAGGGCCTGGGAGCAAGGTGGAGTTAGAGTCCTTGAGGGTCTCTTCTCAGACTAGCCTCACCTGGTCCTGGTCCACGTTGATCGTTGGAATCTCCTCAATGATTTAACACTTTAAGGGACTCCCAGGGTCCTCATCACATTTATAGTTTAGTGAATTAGGCAACTTGGTGTTGAAGACACCTAGAGCTGAAGGCTTGAGTAATATTGGCAGTATTCAGAAGTGGTTCAACGGAAACACCGCATAAAGCTTAACAGTAGTTTATTTACTAACTTAACCACTAATACACAGGGTGCTTGACTTACTTTAGATTGGCGTCAGAAAGGCTATGGTTGCATTAGCGAGACTCTTGACATCTGGCTAAACGACTCGTATCCACTCCTGGAGAAACATCTAACTTAACACAATTGACAGCCAATCATTAACACGGCAACCTAACTGCCGGTGTGCAAAGGGATCACAAGAGTTCCAACTGGATACTCAGGTAATGATCATGCACAATAAATAACAATGGCACTGTCAATGGGACTAGTAATAAACATGAACAATAAAAATATCACACAATAACTAAATGTGTGGTGTATGTGAAACTCATATTCTCAGACGAATGTAATGTCGTGATACCCCACAGATAAACACGCATACACCGTCGGGTGTCTCCACCTATACCTGTGTCAGGTATGAGAAGGTGAGAGCTGTGGTTGATCCCTCAGATCAACCCACAGACAGACACAATAATACAATAACAAGATCTTGAACTTGCAGGTAGGCTACCTCTCTTATTCTCTCACTCACTCGTGCACATTCATGCAAGAACTCATAGGTGGCCTGACAGTTGGCTTCGCTCGTTATAACGTTTGACGACAGGCTTTCCCAACAAACCGTACATGATAGGGAGGGTACTCGCAGGAGGGCGCGCTGTATGTCTAACAGATACACGCACACTTGATGGTACTGGTGGCGAGTTAGCATGGTGACGTCACGTAATACCGTGAGACAAGGTGGCTGGCGGTTTGAGGCAAGCTACACGCTCTGGACAGTGGCGACTGCAGGTTATATGGTACCATGCAGGTACACTGTAGTAAAAGTCACTCACAGATTACTTAGGCAGCGGCATTACCATAGTTCACTCAAGGTCACTCACAGATGATCTCCATTTGTCACCAGGGGTTACCTGATACCAGTCTGTTTCACTCTGGTGATTTGTCACTAGTCTTCTAAACAATATAGTCACGTTCGCGATTCCAGGCGAGCATTGGTATATCGGAAAGAGGTTGAGTTTAACCTGACTGTGAGGAATGGACGGTGTTCAGTCTATTGGCCGATAGACAGAACAGGACACGTCCTCTATGTACAGGCTTCCTTACGTGAATACCCTTGCCAGGGGCTGCAGGGGCTCCTCGTGGGCACAAACACAAGGGGTTACAATTGACCAATGGTGTTTCAGCAAAAGAGCGGGAATCAATCATATTGATCGTTTCATGATCAGTAGCAGAGATGACGTCATGAACACGTCACTACCAAGTCACAGTTGTTATTCTCCATCGTGCCGATTGAGGCTGACCCCAGAGGTCAGGTCTGTCGCCTCGCTGACGTCCGCTCTCTCTCTCTCTCTCTCACGCTTGGCACCAGCCATGTACTCACTGACCCTATGGTAAGTATGCTTAATTCCTCTGTATCAAATTTACCCTTAGGCATACAGCGGCCTCCGTATTTTAAACGTATTCCTGGTTATGTGGTCTTCCTGGGGACACCCAACATGACAGATTACCATCCAGGGTTAACAGAGATAGGGCTTGTGTACGAGATCGGTGGACTGTGCACTGCAATGGGCCTTTTAAGTCAGCTGTGGGAGAATCTTCAGAGACCATCCTCTCACAACAATCGTCTCCATCCATCTCCGTTCAAGTTTGGGACACTGGCCTGTAGTTCAGTGCCTCCTGTCTATTACCCTTCTTGTATATTGGAACTACAGTGGCCGTCTTTCAAACTGTTGGCAGTTCACCTGTTACCAGTGATTTGTTCTACACCATGGATAGTGGCAGGCACAGAGCTTCTGCTCCTCCTTCAGTATCCATAGTGAGATTCCATCCGTGTCTATAAACTTTGTCACATCCAAATCTAGCAGATGCTTCCTTACCTCCCACTGGCAAGGGGAGGTCACCTACCCCACTGTGTATGGAGTCTACATCCACCACACACCACTGCCTAGTGCGTTCCATTTGTTCACTACCCTGACACTGAACAATCTTTCTAATATCTCTGTGGCTCATTTGGGTACTCAGCTTCCACCTGTGTCTTCTTGTTTAAGAACCATCCGTAATAAAACAACCTGTTCTCTTAATTAAAATAAAACGTTGCTTTTCACTCGTATGTGTTACACAAGGCCAAAAATTGTCATACTAGAAAATGGAAGCGGCTCGCGAAAGTGACGTACTTTCCCGTTTTCTGTTTTGGGTCCTCTGGTAAGTTAGGAGAGGACACTTTAAATTAAATGTTTTCTTGACGTTGGGAATCCTTAGGAGGACGGGCTGGATAGTCTGTCCTTGACGGCCTTATTAATTCCCATTAAAATTTGAATATATTAATCATGTTTCCTCTAACTCTCCTGACAACCAGCGACGTCAGGTTTAATTCATGTAGCCTTTCTGCGCAACTCATACCTCTTAGTTCTGGAACTAGCCAGGTGACGTACTTCTGAACGTTTCCCTAACTTCGTCACATGTTTTGGCTAGATATGTACTTCACGCTCGAGCCACATGTTCTAGGAGCGGACTAACATGTGTGATATACCAGGTTCTGAATGATTCCTTACACAGACTTCTCAAGGCAAGTCCAACACTGGCTAACGTGGTGTAGGTTGTAGATGATACTTGTTGACGGGGTCTTCAGTCATCAGGTTCAGAGTGATATCAACCCCCAGGTTGACATCACACTGGGAGTTGATGTCACACTTAGGGTTGATGTCACACTCGGAGTTGATACCACACTGCGGGTTGATGTTACACTGGGGTTAATGTCACACTGGGGGTTGATGTCACACTGAGGGTTGATGTCACACTGAGGGTTGATGTCACACTGAGTGTTGATGTCGCTCTGGGGGTTGATGTCACACTGGGGGTTGATGTCAAACTGGGGGTTGATGTCGCTCTGGGGGTTGATGTTACACTGGGGGTTGATGTCACACTGGGGGTTGATGTCACACTGGGGGTTGATGTCACACTGGGGGTTGA